TAGATAGATAGATAGATAGATAGATAGATAGATAGATAGATAGATACTTCTTTCTTACTTCCTCCTTACTTTTTTCTTACTTCTTACTTACTTGCTTACTTACTTTATTTAAATTATATGGTGATCTGTAGCTCTCATTCATACAAACAATAAGATAAAAACACACCAGATTAAAAAAAAAAAAAAACAGAGTATTAAAAAAAAACAATAAATAATTAAAAAAACGACCCTAAGAGGAGGTAAAGCATCAACTATGTTAGGGGACATAACCAGGTAGCTTCTCTGGTTCCTTCCAGGAGTGGTCGAATTATACAGCCTAATGGCACGAGGGACAAACAAGTTCTTTAGTCTCTCAGTAGAACACCTCAATGAATGGAGTCTGGAGCTCATTGAACTTCGCTGGTTAGAGAAGACAGAGTTCAAGGGGTGGCCCTGATTGGACATGATGGACATGAGGTGGAGTTCTGAGGCGATGGTGTCCTTTGTTGAATGGTTGGAGTGGTAAGCAAACTGGAATGGGTCAAATGAGGGAGTAGGATTAGAGATGATGTGTTGCTTAACAAGACGTTCGAAGCACTTCATCGTGATCGGCATAAGAGCCACGGGGCGATAATTTAGACTGGCTATTGTTTGTTTTATAAGCACTGGTGTGATTGTGGCTACCTTGAAACAGGAGGGCACGATGGCTTGCTTCAGGAAGTTGTTAAAAATGTCTGTCAGCACAGGGGCAAGCTGGTCTGCATATTCCTTGAGTACTCTTCCTGGGTGGGTCCTGCTGCTTTCCTGGAGTTTGTTTTTCAGTGTCCTGCAGGCTCAGGGAGTGCTTGTCAGGTGGTCGGGTTTCCTTCACTGCTGGGGAGTTGTTTTGCACCTAGAATGTTTTGTTTCCTCAAATGATGGGGGGGTCCATTACGTATTTGGTGGCAGCCATCTTGAATTTTGACACGATGATCCAATTTTTGAAAGGAACTTTTTTTTACACCTAGATGTAGCCACACTTCAAAATGGAAATCAGTTCCTCACTTATTAAATTATGCACGGACAGATGGATGTATTTCAAATTCTTCCTCTTTGCTTTGCGACAGGGGACAATAAACCTTTATTTACTCACTTTTTATTTTCTAAATTAATTTAATGTCGTTATGCACTTGTTTCCTCTTCTTGCAGGACTGATCTGCTGTCTCCAAAAGAAATCCTCAGTGGAAACGGTGAGTTGATGTAACCTCTCTGTCTGTGCTGAAGTCATGTTACGGTCTTCTTAAGGTATTTAGAAAACCTGTGACATTTGTCCAAACAGAGGTGTTGTTTTTCAGATGAGGTGATTGGTCAGGTGATGAGCATCATGAAGACCCAATCTGTCCCGTACACAGCCATTTACACTGGCTTGCAGCCCTCAAGGGTCGGTCACTGTGATTGCTGCTGTTTGTCTACATATTTGCATCATTTGCTGTGATTGTTTATTAATTCAGCATGTTTATAGTTAATTAGTTTTTCATGGTCTGTTTAGGAGGCGGTGTCCCTGTCTTTGGAACCGGTCCTGGGGGGAGGACGCTCTCTGTTGCAGTCCAGAGGTGGATACAGGGACCGATACAGGGAAAGAGAGCGGCAACAGAAAGTCAAGGCTGGGGTCTACGCTCCAGTGGAGTTTAAGGTGTTTTATTGTCCTATTAAAGCAGTGCCTGGGCACCATAAATCAAATGTGTCTATTCACCATCACAACACGACGACTCTGAAAGTGAAGCAAAAATAATTATGATATAAAAACATTAAAACAGACATTTACTGCTCTGTAAAACCAACTACCGGTAACTTTTTTTTCCCCAACAATTGCCATCAAATAAATATTTTGTATATTTATATTTGTATTTTGGATCGCTGTGGATGAGTGGTTAAAGCAGTCGTCCTTCAATGGGAGTGTTGGGGGTTCATTTCACCAGCAGTCACATGTTGAAGTGTCCCTGGCCAAGACATTGAACTTTTCATTGCCTCTGATGTGTGTCCCATCGGTGTATGAACGTGATCTAAAAACACTGATTAGTCTTTTAGAATGATTTGTTCGATTATCTTTGTAGAGCTTTAGTAGAGAGCTGTATGAATGTGTGTGTGGAGGTAAATGAGGGCACAGATTGTGTTGTTAAGAGCTTTGAGTATCTTGGACAATATATAAGTATAGTCCATTTATCATAAAAAAAAAACCCCTGAAATATGGAGTTTTTTATTTCATTTAAGACCCTTTAAAAGTTTTAATTTTAATTTTAAAATGTAATAATTTAATTTTGGGCTGAGATGGCGCGAAAAGATTGACTATGGTAGTTTTTGTGAGTGGTTGAAAGGTATTTTAATCAGTTAAATAAGGTGGTTTAGTTTTGTTTCCCCCTGAAACAACATGAAGGGTCATAAAGTTAAAGGACGATACAAGATTTAACCACGGTTCTGTATAAAACATCCCACTATGCAAAAATGGTCTTCAAAAGAGAGCATTAGGAATATGTTGTCACACATTTGTTTACCTTTTTGATCTAACATGTGAATGTGCTTCGAGCTTCAGGCCATGAACAATCTCTCCACAGTCTGACTGTCTTCTTCCTCTTCTGAGTACAGGAGAGGGAGAAAACCTGCATCCTGCTGTGGTCCAAGAGCCTATCGGTCAGCATCCTTCGCAGCGGTCGCTGGGAAATTCATGACCTGACCTCGTCTACCTTTGGTGAAGGTGTTAGCCCCAAACTTCATGGGTCCAGCTGTGACCAAAACAAAGCAAGGTAGTATGTTTGTCTAGTACGAGTTTAATGAGTCGGCTGGGATTGTCATAAAATTGTACAATTTTGCATACATGTCGATAATTAAATTGGCACCTTATTACAATATTATTACCATTGGACTAATCCAGTGCTTCTCAATTATTTTCTGTTATGCCCCCCACCCCCAGGAAGACGTAAACATTTCACACACACCCAACTCTCCACCGCGACTGTAAATAGCATCATTTGTCTATAAAATTGTTATAAGTACACCTCTGCATAACATTGTGTCCTTATTAACATTAAATAAAAATAATATAGTTCAACTTACAACGAAGAATAACTTTATTAACATAGTTTTTTTTAGTCTGTAACAGAAACAATTTAAAGTGCATCAATTTGCCTGAAGAAAAAAACAACTTAAATTCTTATTTAAACTGTAAACATTTTTGACCATTTGATACTGAAAAATATAATCAATAAATAATAAATTCAAATTGATCAGCAACATTTTAACTCAGGAGTGTTATATAAAACACTTTAACCTAAAAAAAAAAACCCCAAAATGAATAAAACAATTTGTGCTGATTTTCTTTTTTAAATCAAAATGAGGAAGTCGGGATCAATGAGCACACTCATTGATAAAACGAAAACATTTTGTCAACGTGAAAGAGAAAGAGGGGGCAGGTAACCCTCTTGCTTTGAGTTTACTCTTTGTTGCCTGCGTGCTGTGGGTGACAAACATCCAGAGCGTCATAAAAACATCAGCTGAACTGAGAAGGTGAATATATTTTGTTAGCAAAGAATAGAGTCCTAACATTTATTAAACATTACTTCTGTAAATTATGCTTTGACAAACTCATTGATAAAACTAAAACATTTTGTCAACGTGAAAGAGGAAAGAGGGGGCAGGTGTCGCTCTCACTTGTGAGTTTACTCTTTGTTGCATGTGCGCTGTGAGTGATGTCCAGAGCGCATGGACATAAAAACACATGCAGCGGAGGTGTCAGAGTTTTTTTATTTATCGTCTCAACAACAGAGGGGAGCGACACGGTTCATGCATGGCTCCCAAAACAACAAGACAGTCATATTTATTCATAACTTTTATTATTAAGAACGCATGCGACAAAATGAGAATGGTGAAAAACGAAAAAAACCTACTCCCTTCGGCCAAAAAAGCATGTTCCCTGTGTCACATGCCCTCCCTCCCCCGGCATTGCCCCGGGCCCCCCCAGGGGTGGCGCACCCCACTATTTGAGAAGGACTGGACTAATCAAACCATCAGACAGACCTAATAATGTTTATATCTTTAATCTTTGTCAGAACACAATCTTTAAGTTTCATTTTGTGATCATTTTTAGTGAGTTTGTTTCATCTAACTACACATGGCACTACACACTGCTTTGGTGTCTTTTTAACTTTTTAAAAAATGTTGTGATAACAAACACTGTGCAACATTAAAAGATAGATTAAGCTCTAGCACATAAATTTTCACTATAAGATAAGATGGAACTTTATTGATCCCGCAGGAAATTATGCCAAGGTTTCAATACAAAGGAACATACACAAGGAATCACACAAGATATAAAAAAATAACAGACTATAAAAATCATAGGGAATATAAAAATACCAACAATTGCATGACCTGCATGAGCTCTACTGATGCAGTTTTATATCTTTAAGTTTTTTTAATTAAATCTCTGTACTGTCAAATCTGAAATGTCTAAAAATGAAAAGTCAACAGTAATTTGTTTCTACACACAAACAAGAACCAAATGATGGAAAAATGAGCAGAGTTTAGTTTAATTTAGTTTAATGTAGTCAGACGGGTTCCATCCTGGCCGTGGAACACTGGACCAACTCTTTTTTTCATTCATTCAACCTTTATTTATCCACGTTAACCCCATTGAGCCTCGGGGGTTCATTTATAAGAGAGACCTGATTGTAATTTAATAATACTTTACCCTCACTATGGTCCTCGAGGGATCATGGGAGTTTGCTCATCCAGTCTACATGTGTTTTGTGGACTTGGAGAAGGCATTCGACCATGTTCTTTGGGGTACATTGTGGGGTTGCTCCACGAGTATGGAATTGGGTCCCATTGCTACAGGCTGTTCAGTCCCTATACAAGTGGTGCGAGAGTTTGGTTCACATTGCCGGCAGTAAGTAGGACCTCTTCAGGGTGGGAGTTGGACTCTGCCAGGACTGCCCATTGTCACCGATTCTGTTCATAACTTTTATGGACAGAATGTTTTTGTGCAGCCAGGGGGCAGAGGGAGTCTGGCTCGGTGGCCTCAGGATTCCATATCTGCTCTTTGTAGATGATGTGGTCCTGTTGGCGTCATCGTGCCGGGATCTTCAACTCTCACTGGAGCAGTTAGCAGCTGATTGTGAAGCGGCTGGGATGAGAATAAACACCTTCAAATCTGAGGCCATGGTCCTCAGTTGGAAAAGGGTGGATTGTTCTCTTTACGTCAAGGGTGAGATTCTGCCTCAAGTGGAGGAGTTCAAGTATCTCGGGGTTTTGTTCATGAGTGAGGGAAAAATGGAGCATGAGATTGACAGACGGATTGATGCAGCATCTGCAGTATTGCGGACTGTATGCCGGTCCGTTGTGGTGAGTAAGGCGATGCTGTTTGTTTACCGGTCAGTCTACGTTCCTACCCTCACATATGTCCACGAACTCTGGCTAGTGACCGAAAGAATGAGATCATGGATACAGGGGGTTGAATGGAGTTTCCTCTGCAGGTCGTTTTCCTAGGAAGTCCGGTTCGTTTGGGGAGGTGTGAACGCGCCATCGAACTCTGTCACGGAACAAAAAGGCGAACTCTGGCCTGGGCTAAAACCTGGGTCTCGGTCCGGTAGAAGAGAACTCCAGTGCGTTTCCAGTACAGTGTGAATGCAATCAGACCGGGCCCCGCTCCACAAGCAAGAAGTGGAGTACAGCGCAGAGCAAACAAGCATTTCTCTTACCTCATATGGAGCCGTCAGCTGCCTTGTGTGAAAAACAATATTCTCCAGGGTCTTCTGTCTCATCTTCTGCTCATGCTGAGTCCATTTTTGAAAAATGACAAAATATAACTCCTAAAACTGCTAAAGTTTGATGCCACTCCATTTTGGTTTTTATTTCCAGAAGAAGTGTCTTCAGAGGTTTTTGTGTCGTTTCTTTCAGCAGTTCTTGGTGCAGCGCCCCCACAGGCGAGTGGGGGAACAGGTTGGTTCGAACAGGTTGGCTTGACTGCACAGTGCAGTGTGAATGCAAATGCACCAGCTCAAATGTAAACACGACATTATGAATATTGGTCCCCAACCGAACCGAGTCTACAGGACTATCAGGTGTGAAAACAACCTACGTCTCTCAGTTGGCCTGGGAACACTTTGGAGTCCTCCCAGAAGAGCTAGAAGAGGTGGCTGTAAAGAGACATGTCTGGGCCTCCCTGCTCAAGCTGCTGGCCCAGCAACCCAACTTCAGAACAAGCAAAAGATGATGGATGGATGTAACCAAAAGAGGCTGGCATGGCAGAGGAAGATTCTTGGACAGACGGTGTCAGAGGCAACTAATCTGCTGTGGAGACTCCTGAAGAGAGCAGCTCAAAGAAAAAAGAGTCAGAGTCAAGAATTTACTAGAAGGTTTCAACTTTTAAAGACTCCCACAGATTGTTGTACAACTTTCAATTATAATAATATGGATGCTTGTGAACACTTCTAGTTTCAGCATTTTCTCTACCATTAGCCAAGCGGGAGTGGCCTGCCCTCCCAATGGAACTCACCCCTCACTCACCCACCCACCCCAAATAAACACAATGATATGGAGTAAATAATAAACGTCTGTACATGTTTGCAAGTGACCCATTCTCTGCTGCAGGGAAGATGCCAAAACCGATGCATCATTAACCCCTCCTACCACACCATACCCCAGCCTCCCAGGACTTTTGCTCTAAAATTTAACTTTGTATTAGATGTAAATACATTCAGACTAATATCATTAACATACAGACACAATGTGCACACAATCAAACACCTGCTAGCAGAGAGAGCTCCGCCACTGGAGCGCACAGCCTGTTTGAGTCTCTCTTGCTACGGTACCTCTGCCAACTGTTCTGCACAGACCTTCAAGACACATGATCAGGACTAATAGCCTTCAGGGTGTTTACCTGTCTCAGGGCTTTGATAACGTGTGTGTGTGTGTGTGTGTGTGTGTGTGTGTGTGTGTGTGTGTGTGTGTGTGTGTGTGTGTGTGTGTGTGTGTGTGTGTGTGTGTGG